AAAAAAAAAAAAAAAGCCACTAGAAGGTAAGAAGCCAACTTCTACAGTTCCTGACAAATCCAAAGGTCATGCCTTTTACTAGGACATGGAAAGAATTCAGATGAATCACCTGTATAAGAATGCTTATACTCAGAGAGCTGCCCTTGAAGTAACTCACTTAGGTGTAATTTAAAAGGTGAACTCATTTTTACTATAAAGTATCTCCCCACTTGGCTTAATTTAACGAAAAAAAAATGCAGTTTACAAGCTTTTGATTACAAAGCAGCTCAAAACCAGCCACAAGCCAGTTATTGCTGTGGTCCTTAAAAGATGTAAAGCTTGTGCTGTGCCAACGTTCTGTTTAATACTGCACGCCCAGCTGTATTTAACGCTATGTTATTTGCCATTCGTAAGTAAGTTAATCAAAACTTACATATGTGAATATGTTTTCATCTTAGAAGTTTTCCACAATTCCTAACATGGCTTAAGTTGCCCAGTTCTGCTTGAATTAAGACTTAAATAGAAAGATGTGCTCAGTGCCCTAGTAACCTGTAGGACCATGGGATGCTAGTAAAGTGGTACTAATGGTTAAGTGTGAAATTATCAGATTTAAAGACAAATGCTTAAGGTAACCCGCAAGCTCTCTAGAGATAATGGACCATCTTCTACAAAGGACTAAAGCAAAAGACTAAACTTGAACTAATGAGTTAAACTAAAACATGAGCATGCATACCTTGGATCTTCAGTGCAATTCTGAAATCAGCAAGCTTGGGAAAGAGACCTCGAAAAGCATTAGAGAGCAAGATTAAAAAAAAATAACCCTGCAACAGTCATAACTACATTTGCAGAAAGCAAGCAGCTTCCTGCTTAAGTGGGTTCCAAAGGTGACGTGCATGGAAGACAGAATTGTCAGATTGAATTCTTAGTTTAAAAGACATTTCTGAAGGCATGTTTATGCAGACTTGGTACTTGTTTGCAGAAGACAGTTTCCCATTTAGTTTCTAGTAGAATTTCAAGCAGTCTTAAAGTTTGGTTGAAAAGCACCATTTATGTATACAGTTGTTTCTAAACAGTTCTTCCAGCCTAGAATGTGGTCACCAGTAAGAGTACTTAGTTTTCACAAATTAGCAAGCTTTGAATCTAGGACTATGTCATTAATTTGGAGGTCTAGCATTGGTGATTGGTGTTCTTTTGATGCAATTAGGTAACGGAGACAGACTCGTAGTTCAGTGCAAGTTACACACAACGCATCAAGCCTTGGGCATGCATGGTTCTACTCACTGGCCATGGGTTTTGGGGCCTGCAATGACTCAACTTGTAGGCTGTCGTCATTAACAAGTAATGCACTGCAATAAGGCACAGCTGTAGAGCAAGATGGTTGGTGCTGAGCGCCTAACATTCATGCACTATCTTTGAAGTTTTCATTTCAGCCTAGTTCTGGTCTGGTCTAGCTGAAGACCCATTAAACAGGTCAAATTCAGTTAGAGGTTTTCCAAGAATGTATTTCTTGCTACGTTTTGCCGTAAGTGACTACTTTGGGCACTGAGAACACTCCGCTAAACAAGCCAGATCACAGTCAATGGTCTGCTAGCTTAGAGAGCAGAGAAAAGCTCTCAGTTAACTATTAAGGTAACTAAATATATACTTAGTGCAGTGCTCCTGCTGGCTTCCGTTTTGAAAGTGTTAATTCACAGAACACTTAAGATCAGTCAGTACATACAATAAACTTGAAACAATTATTCTAAGTTCTGCTCCCCTCTGTTTTCCAGGTGCAGCAGTCTTTTTGATGTCATATCCAAGAGAGCCATCACTGAATGTTATGGTTGCATAGCAACTGCAATGTGACAAATAACTGGTTTAAAGCAGTCCTTTGCTGTGTTATTTCTTTTCCAACAGGAGCCAGTTTCCTACCACTGCAACTCATAAAACCCTTGAAGAAAAACATATGCAGTGTTTTATGACTAAGAAAGAAGTTTCTTTATTCAAATACCTTGTTATTTCTGGGCGCTATCACCAGTACTGCACCAAGTTATCTTGAAGTACCCAGTATTAGCATTTCTCTGTAAACAGAACACCAAGCCCTATATCTTGTGTCTCCCTGCACTTGGATTATCAGTTGGAAACACCACAGAAATATTCTATGTATGAAGGTAGAAATTAACTAATGCAATACTAGTAATCCAGTTGTAATTTCCAAAAGCATTAGTTTTTTACCTAGTCAGCTACAGTGAAAAAGTCTTATCTACAGGAAAAAAATCTAAACATGGACATATACAACATACAAGTTATATATTCCCAGTTCTGTTTATTTTCATGGAATGCTAATTTAGTTACAATATGGCAGTTCATAACTACTGAAATGTGACATAAATTGATCTCCAATGCTGCAGAACAGTCTTGATTTATATATATTGTTTTAAAACAATCTTATTTTACATAGTTGAGGTCTCTGGTGGTTTTTGAGCCTGATGCTTAAGCACACAGCAAGCTACAAACCTTAGGTTTTATATTTATACATATTCTATGTATTCAGACAACTGCTGTAAGTTATCTATAATTTAATATTTATAAAAAGTGCATATACTGGTACATATGCACATCTAGAAACACACTTTTACTACTGCCTCCCTTTTATAAAAAGCTGTGTAACATACAGCCATATTATTCTCACTCACTGCTATTAAGGTACTTTACTATCTCTGTTACACAATTTCAACTATTTAATTCCCTCAAACTGAATGTAGGTATTTCTATGTGTATTTTCTCCTAAAGAAAAAAAGTCCTCCCTATTCCTTTAAGAAGCTTTAAATCATGCATCAGTTTAGTAAACAGTCACTTTAACATGGATTTTAGAATCCTAGACAGTGTAAAATCTACTTCTGGAAAACGTCTGTCTGTATATTTATTTTCTTCTTTTAGTTACAAAAAATATATAGGATTGAAACATACTGAATACATGCATCTCTCAAAGTGGCTATATTCTAGCCTTATAGATAAGTTAAAAAAGTACACCCCTGCTAACAGGATGCAAACATGGCCTCAAATAGGCCATTACCTGTATTTAATATAGCTCGTTACATTAAAAAGTTCAAGTCAGCTGTTCTCTCAAGATGGTGTCAGAAGACTGAAGAGCATAATATATTTATACTCAATATACAAAGGTGGGTGCAGATACCTAGTGCCATTTAATTATCCAATACTTTCAAGGCTTCTAGGCTTTACCTCTGGTGATACAAGTCCTGAAATGATCTGAATGAAAGTTTAACTTGAAAATTGTTTTTTAATACACCATAAAAGCAATTTGTATTTAAAAGAAAAATGTACACTGAACAACCTGAAGTACTCACTGAAACAACTGTACAAAGCTATTATAGATACAGAAAGAAAGAATGGTGGACTTAACTTCCAAACAGAAGTAACACTTGTTAACATATGTAAAATCTTGCTTTGTTTTGTTCTTCTACCAAGTAAGAATTTGCAGCCGTTCAGAACAAGTAAAATTCAAGCCACCTCACAATGTTTACATTTAAATTTCTTTTATACAGTGCAAACATTTAGGATAGAATAACTCCCCAGTGAAACAGGTGACACTGCTCAGTGCCAGTCTTCTGAAGATTCTTCTTTCGATAAGTCTATTTACATGTTAAGCTAAAGGTTCACTATATATACTTTGAAGTTTGCTGAATATCAGCAGAAAAATATGTGAACTAGCAGCAGTTGTATTACAAATATATGATGGTTACTTTAATGAATGCATAAAGTTTTCAAGACTGTATTCAGTGTCATACTGTTCTTGATCCCATAGTTCTCCAAGGTTTTCGAGTACTGATTTCATTGATGCTTTCCCAGAAGAGGTAGAGGTATCTGCTTTTTCAGTTTTTCCATCCTTCACGAAAGAGAAAAAAACACAATTAATAAACAGAATAATGTTTTCAGGAATATATTAAACTCTTCGAAGTCTGATGATTCTTTTTGGGGAATATCACTTCCCTTCTGTTTTTTAGAGAGCTGTCTACTATTCACCATTCCAACTTCAAAGTGTTTGTCTGATGAAATTTTACATTTTAAAGCAAAGCTTCTTCCTAAGCTTACTCTATTTTTGGTAGGTATTTGTAAAAATGGTTCTTTACCTTGTCAAGAGTGAACAGATCAAGAAGCTGTTCTGTTCCCATGCTCTGTAGGCTTGTGTTTTCTTGGCTGATCACTGTATTTGCAATATTCATTTTGAACTTTTGAAGACCCATAATCTTTTCCTCCAGAGTTCCCCTGGTTATCAGGCGATACACATTAACAACACGTTTCTGAAAGGAAAAAAAAGCCCACTTAGCTCAGAAGTATCAACTTAGGTATTCAAGAAAGCATAATCTTTTAGTATTCATCACGGACAGGCTGGAAGCAGTTTGGCCTGGAGTTACCCTTCAGTAATTGTACTCAATAAATCTGACTGATGTTAGACAAAAAGAATGAGACTATGCCAGCAGATAGTAGAGGCACCTGCAATTGCATCTGTACTTGGGAAGTTAACAATTCACTGCTTTTTACAGCTGTAGAGGGAGACTAACAGCAGTCATTCTTTCCCTGTCCAGGCATCAGAGATGGACAACCCTATGGGGCTTCCCTTCAGTTCCTTGTCGCAGTTGCATCTCTTCCTCCACTGAAGGGTGATTCTTCCCTGGTCTCTTCTCAGCAGCTCAGGAAGTACAGAAGAGCAGGCATGCCAAGTTGGGGATGGGATAGGATAGGAAAGTACACACTTCAACATCTGGCATATTTGCAAGAAAGCAGTATGAATGAAAGCTTGGTGGAAACCACCAGATGTCATTTTTATTATATGCTACCACCTTTTCCAAATTCAAAGAAACAAGAGCTCAGCAAGGAAAAAGAACTTATGGGAAATGCAGTTTTTCACCTGCCCAATACGATGTGCCCGATCCATGGCTTGCAGGTCTCTCATTGGGTTCCAGTCATGTTCCACAAATACTACTGTATCAGCCCCTGTTAAGTTAAGTCCCAGTCCACCAACATGAGTGGTGAGCAACAGAACGTCTATAGATGGGTCATTATTAAACCTGCATACAAAAGAAGTTAAGCATGGTAAATTTCATTTCAGTAATGCATTTATGAACTTCAACTGCTTTGAGGCAGACAAAAGAACAATTTTGTACCATATAAATAATATAGTTGATTACAGTTGGCCTTATTTTGGTTATGAAGGGATATGCTTACCGTGAAACAATGGAATGCCTCTGACCAGCAGGTATGCTGCCATCTAGTCGTAAATAAGTAACTGAAGGTAACTGAGGTCTGAGAAGGTCATGCTCCACTATATCCAGCATGCTCTTAAGTTGACAGAAGATAAGCACTCTGTGCTGGGCCACAACAGCTTCAGTACCGCTTTCTGAAGATCCACCATTCCCCAAACCACAATCTATCAGCAGCTTAAAGTAAAAGAGCATTAAAGGATATCATTAAAATGACAGTAGATCTCATGTAAATTTGACATTGATGGAGTATCAAAAGTAGAAATAAGAGAAAAAATAAACTACAGAAAGAAGTCTGTAAATGACACTCAAATGACAATGCAAAGTTTGGCTTCACTGTCAAACTACGAAAATTTAAAAGTCAACAGAATAATCATTCTCTTAATTTCTCTTTACAATAGAATTTAAGTATGTAATGCAATCTAACTTTATCAAGCTAATAGTCTTCTGTATAATAAATAGGAGAAAGTTTGTTCTGTAACAAGGACAGGAATGAAAAACAGAATAAAAGTCAGGTTTTTGACAAGGCAGCAAAAATTATGTGAACATCACTTTGAAGGAAGCTTGTGCTTCCCCCTCCCCTTTGAATTAACAGGAAAAATAAGGCATGTGCCTAAAAACCCCTTTTACTCTATTTCATTTGCTACTTAACTGCTGTTTTAAGATCAGTTTCACATTGATGAAGTCTTGAAACAAAACTTCAGAACCGTAACATCGGTAGACACATTTAGGAAATTCAAGGCACAATATTCCAAGTCTACTTACTTGTTTTAAAGCAGACAGCTTAGGTGCATGTTGGATATCTCGGAGGGATGAATTATGAGCTGCAAGTTGCTCTGTAATTCTTTTATATTCGGGATGTTGGGTTGTTAACACTAATGCTGGATGGTTGCATAGCTTCCGTAAGTACTGCAGTGCCTTTATTTAGGAAATTAAACATTAGCAACAATGTAATCAATTTTGTTTGTCCTTTTTCTGTTTAATACAAGTATGGGGGCCATTCAACCACATTCCACAAGTTGGACTTCAGAGTGTTTTTCATTAAAATAAAGTTGCACATTTATATTAAGAAAATCTGTATTTCAAACTGTGTCCAATAACTGTTAGGAGCACAATGATCTTGGTTCCTGTTGCAGGAACAGTGCACAAAGACTACCATTTCCCACACCTTCTTGTGAGCATGGATATAGTAGATGGGTTTGGGAGCTGCGCAGAGCCTTTGAGAACTGTTGTTTTCAAGTAGCCAAGACTTAATCTGCAGTTCCTTAAGACCATGCACCTTTATAAATTCAGATCTAACCTTAAACTTTTTTGTTTATGTTTTAGAATCTTAATTTTTAAGTGTAACAACTGATTAATTCCCTCTTGTTCTGAGGTTTTGCAGTTGGTTATCAGTTTTTAATTGAGAGTAGCATCCAAGATGACAAAACAGCTGAACACTAGTTGAGCAGAACACATTAAAAAATTTAAGACTGTTTTATATCATTTACGACACAAACCCACAATTTAAGCATAATAGCTATACATCACCTTCCAGGCAATCCAATCCAAAATCTAAATATTTTACTTAGATCATATGGCCACAAATATGTAGGTTAACTATTTTGATTTTCATTATTTAATAAAACCAGAAATTAACCAAAGAGGTAGTAAAAATTACTGAAGAAATCCGTACCTGAAATACATGACCTGTAGCTTTCAGCTTTGGTTTTTCAGTTTCTTCATTCAGTGAAATTGAAGAAACTGTTTCATCAATATCACACTTGGCACGAGACTTGGCAAAATCTTCATAAAGCTGAACCTGTAGACCAACCCCCAGACAAAAGAATGAGAATGTGTTTTCCCTGAGAGTAGGACAGTAATTTTTAGAATTTAGTTTCGAGTTAAAATTCTGAATTATCATAAATCAAGAAAGCTATTTTATACATAGCACAAGATCAATATTAACAGTGGAATCTCTTGCGATTTAGTTTGTTTCAGCTTGGAAAATATTGTTTAAAAAAATCTGCAGATGCCTAGATGTTCTTGTAGAACCATGCCAGAAATTAAGCTAAAGAAATACTCTGTACTGAAATTAGTTTTTAAACAAATACTAGAAAAAATTTTTAGTCCTGTTGTCCCAGAAAATGTCAGAGCTGACATCAGCTTGACTCAGGAATACAGAAGTGATTCCTTTGTGGCCTTAACTGTGCTGAGAAAACCTAAGCTTCCAGCCACTTTTTAAGCATACCTGTAGAGGACTGAGAATACAGTAATAATCTTGAATAATTTTGGGTGGTAGATCTTGCAGTACATCCTCTTTCATTTGGCAGAACCTGGCGGTGCAGTGCTTCCATTGCAAGAATCCCTAGTGAAGGTAACAGAAGCAGCACTTTAGAAAAAACCAAGAAAAGATTATTCAAAACATTCAGCCCTGCCCCACCAGTGTCATACATGTGAACCGACTGCACTTTCTCTTTTCATTGGCAGTTCTCATTTAAAGGAAGAAAGCCAAGATTTAACTTTGGATCCTTACCAGCCTCTTGTTCACGACTGGAGCTTCGGGCATCTCTACTTGCCAGTATTGGTTTGCCGTAACGAGCTGCAAATTGGCGTTCAGTGCCCAAAAATCCTGGCATAAGGAAGTCAAACAACGACCACAACTCTAAGACGTTGTTCTGAACATAAAAGAAATGTTTGTTAAATTATTTTCAAAAGTTGTGAATTGTTACAAGTTATCAGAAACACTTCCACACGTTTAACACTGCCTATAAAACACTACCAACATAACACTTCAACATTTTTCGAGCTCCTGGAGCATGGTGGCCCTTTCATCAACCTAGCTGATGAAAAGTTACGTGCACTTTTAACATATAAATGGACTTTCTACTGTGTCTGATGTCTTAAGCCACACCCTGAGTTGTTCTGGACAACAAAACCCAAGAGACACCAGTGGTCATAGTCCTGGGTGAAACAGATACTCCAGAGACAAGTCATTAGGACAAAGCCCCAGGTCTGGAGTTCAAGAGCTGAGTTTCTGGCTAGTTTCACTAGAGGCATAAGGAAATGCTCTCTCCCCTTCCCTGCCTGCTACTTAAAGAACAAGTTGTAGAGAAAGTCTTGTTGCCAGCTTTTGAGCCCCAGTAGTACCATGGATCCTGCACCCATTCCCCTATGCATGGGTATACTGAGAAAGGAAAAAGATGTAGTGTCAAGTATTTAGCAATAAAAGGCTTTTTTAACCATGTATACTTCGAACAAAACAACTCTGATAAACAGCATGATTAAAACAGACTGCAAAATAGATCTCTTGCTTGTTCTCTACTACTCACCCAACTCCTTTGGAAAAAACAACAGCAGTTACCTGGATCGGTGTCCCAGAAAGAATTATCCTGTAATTGGCAGTCAGCTGTTTTACTGCTTTTGACAGCTTTGTTTTTCCATTTTTTATTACATGGCCTTCATCAAGAATGCAGTAATTAAACTTAATATTTCTAGAAAAGAAGAACAGACTTAAGTAACATTTACAATTCTAACCTGTTAAAAACCTCAGAAAACAAACCAATTCTTACCTGAAGAAGTCAATGTCATTTCTCACAACATCATATGAGGCCACTATGAGATTGTGTCTTTTCACCTGGTGTTGTAATCTGAAGAAAAAAGAGATCATAACTGAAGCGTTCCTTACACAGGTTATTATTCCAGCCTTTAAAGGTACCATCACAAGTTCTACCATGCCCACAGACTATGCTTTAGTAGCAAAATGAATTGCAAAATTCTGTGTGTGATATTTTACCCAGGTCATAAATGCAAAACACATTACATTACCTTGCTCTCTCAGTAGGAGGTCCTGTATAGTGCAAAGGATTAAGATACTCCTTGGAGCAAAATTTGCCCACTTCATCCACCCAGTGTCCTGTGAGTGTAGGAGGGCACACCACCAAGGAGGGAAGAGGAACACTGTCCACCAGTTTTGTTCTTGCATATTCCTGAGCCCTTTAAGAGTATCAAAACAAGTTCAAAAATTTGTTTTTCACATAATAGTTGAGGTTGGATGGGACCTCTGGAGGTCACCTGGTCCAGCCTCACTGCTCAAGCAGAGCCACCTACAGCCAGTTGCCCAGGACTGCGTCCAGAGTCATTACCATAGATAAAACCTATCATTAAAGCCTTTAAGATAGAATGTCATTTGTTTAAGCTTACCTGAGGCAATGATCACCTGCAAGAATGCAAATAGATTGTAAAGTTTTTCCTAAGCCCATGTCATCACAAAGAATTCCGTGAAGTTTGTATTTATTGAGAAACGCCAGCCAGTTCACTCCATCCTGAAATCAGAAAATTAGAAGGGTGCCTCAGAAGTAAAAACTGGCTCATAGCTACTTAGGCTTCAGTTCAAACACCCGTACGTTCTGTCATCCATCGCTGCCAAATTCTGAGCCTGCTGCCCACCGTGAATGCACCCAGGAGAGCCCATTTACATAAAGCAGAGAAGGAATGAAGGGAGAAACAATAAGCAGCCAAGCAGTAGGAGGCCTGGCTTTACACGGGCGAGCTGCCACAGCCAGCCTAAGCAAGGCAGAGCCCGTTGGCCATTCCTTGAGAAAAAAGACAATCCAGAGGAGGGGAGGGAATATCATTACAACAAAAACAGTGTAAACGGCATACATTACTTAATTTGTTCTTCCTTAGCCAAGAGTTCAAGATATACACTGCACAGCTAAGTACCCAACAAAAAAACCCACAAGCAAAAAGACCCAGCACCCAAACAATTCCTACCCTTCCATAAAATCGTTATCAGACTGGTACTTACTGCTCATTTAAAACAAAAGTATAAGCTGTTACCTGCTGATACTTTCTGAGCTCTGCTTTGATTGGTACTGGAATTTTATAGTTTTCCAGTTTTTTCCCATCCAGTAATTGTTCCAGAAAATGACGTTCTTTAGCTTTCATTCGGATTAATTCTTCAGACATGTTTGGTGGATCTGGTATACCAGCCTAGGATAATATTTTTAAAGCAGTAATGTAAGGGCTACAGTACTTATTTCTCACACAGGGAATAAGAAATAAAACCTCATACTATCTTAGACATGTTAAACAGACGGCAAAGATCTGCCATCTTCTCAACTGTATAAACAATTGTAGTACTGAGTTTGGATTTTGATTCCTTGCAGATCAACTCATCCAGGGTTGCAGGGTGCAAAAGACTAATTCTGCCTCAAAGGACACACTGAAAAGCTTGAAACAATTGTATAGGAAAGGGGAAATGCTGGTCATGCTTGTAAGATTTCACAAAGACTGAGCTATTCTACCTCTCATCAGACAGTCTATCTGGCTGGCTAGGGAATCCTTTGACACTTATTTCTCCTTAGCCACAATCTACCATCCAAAGTTAGACAGATTTTTCTCCTGCATATGTTAGTAGAATTAGAACTAAAGTGATACTGAAATCCATAGGATGCTTTCAAGCAGTTGGAAACTACTAGGAAAAAGAAAAACCTCCACATTTATAGCAGCAGACCTTGGATTCTTTGGGCTTCTGGCCTGGTATGGGCAGTACCTAGGAAGCCATCTGGGGACTCAATATGCTCAGACATTCTTGCTTGCTAATAATATACAGTAGCAAAAGAGGCATTGATATTTTCCATCACATCTGTCATCCCAGTTTTCTGGGCCACCTCCATCTTTAGTTAGCTTTACTTCAAAACCCAAGTTACTAATCACTTAGGCAGGGCTCCTGGCTGGGAAGAACTCCTCTATATCAAATAATTCCACAATGTATTTGGTTAATAAGAAAGAGGGAAAACTAACTCAGATTTCAGATGCTAGAAGTGCCTCAACAGGGTATTTATGTACATGCACACAGACAACAGCCCATTTGCTCAGCTGCTCTTCTGACCCTCCCCTTCTGAAAGAACCATGGCTGAAGTGTGAATACCACGTCAGGCAATTTGCTTCAAGTATATTGTGAATTTGTAGCACGATTACTTATCAATAAAACAGAAGAGATTAAGCTTAACCATTTCTCTTACAATCCTTCTCTCAGCCACATTTTCATTTTTATGGTTGAATGAATAATGAAACTGAGAATAAAGACAGAGGAAACTCAGCATAGCTAAGTTCTCCCAACTAATTTATTGCTATTGTTTCCAATTCCTCACAATTAGAATCCAACACAAAAATACAGATTAGAAACTCCAAGCTTATTCAGATCTCTAACTTTTACTTATCCAGCAGCTGAATTTGGATCTTGCATTTCAGGCCGTATATAAAATGCCAGCAAACAAACACAAAAGACAAGACAGACTCTTCATTTTGTTCCAGAACTGGAAATCATGCTTCATGGACACAAAATTGAAAGAGCGGAAAGTTTTTGTTTAAATAATACCACTATAACTACTGAAAACTGTAGGAGTTTTTCTTATGAAATATCTCCAAGACTACCCTAAAGAGTCTTCCGATGTATCCGTAAAACACCACTCCATAAAATTTTTTCACACAAAGCACATGTGAAACTTTGGGATTTAAATTGCTTTATTATCAAGTTTTCATAGACAAAGAAGGATTCCTTAATAAAGTATTTCCCTAGTCCCTATCAATCTACCTCCTACTCTTTCCACTGTGATGACTCCAACTCCTCTACAGTTATCAATTTAAACTCCTTGTTGAGCCTAACATTTAAAATTGCTAATGTTCAAAAGAGTGTCCCACAACAATAATGGTATTTTGTCTACAGTTCAATGTCCACGGGAGGCCTGTGACGAGTGGTGTTCCTCAGGGGTCAGTACTGGGACCAGTGCTACTTAACATCTTTGTTGGAGACATGGACAGTGGGATTGAGTGCACCCTCAGCAAGTTTGCAGATGACACCAAGTTGTGTGGTGTTGTGGACATGCTGGAGGGAAGGGATGCCATCCAGAGGGACCTTGACAGGCTGGAGAACCTCATGAAGTTCAACAAGGCCAAGTGCAAGGTCCTGCACGTGGGTCGGGGCAATCCCAAGCACAAGTACAGGCTGGGCAGAGAATGGATCGAGAGCAGCCCTGAGGAAAAGGACTTGGGAGTGCTGGTGGATGAGAAGCTCAACATGAGCCGGCAATGTGCGCTGCCAGCCCAGAAAGCAAATCATATCCTGGGCTGTATCAAAAGAAGTGTGGCCAGCAGGTCGAGGGAAGTGATTCTGCCCCTCTACTCAGCTCTCATGAGACCCCACCTAGAATACTGTGTTCAGCTCTGGAGTCCCCACCACAAGAAGGACATGGAGCTACTGGAGCAAGTCCAGAGGAGGGCCACGAAGATGATCCGAGGGCTGGAGCACCTCTGCTATGAAGACAGGCCGAGAGAGTTGGGGCTGTTCAGCCTGGAGAAGAGAAGGCTCCGGGGTGATCTTATAGCAGCTTTCCAGTACCTAAAGGGGGCCTACAGGAAAGCTGGAGAGGGACTTTTTACAAGGGTGTGTAGTGATAGGACAAGGGGCAATGGATTTAAACTGAAAGAGGGGAGATTTCGATTAGATATAAGGAAGAAATTTTTTACATTGAGGGTAGTGAGGCACTGGAACAGGTTGCCCTGAGAAGTTGTGGATGCCCCATCCCTGGCAGTGTTCAAGGCCAGGTTGGATGAGGCCTTGGGCAACCTGGTGTAGTGGAGGATTTCTCTGCCCATGGCAGGGGGGCTGGGACTAGATGATCTTTAAGGTCCCTTCCAACCCTAACCATTCTATGATTCTATAATTTTTCTCTCATTATTAATCTACTTCACTCTCAGTTTGCGTATTTCTAAGTCTGTGTATTTAATACAGTTCAATATCTGACACTAACTGGAAAGGGAAGTCCTAAGGGAGTTATGGAGTAACTACAGAAAAAAAACATGAACTGATCATGCATATGTAGACAATTAATAAAACAAGTATTCTGCATTGAGATGCTCACTAAATTCTATAAAATAGCTTTAAAAAAAAATGAAAGCTACATGTATTCCATAGGACTGTATTTAGGATGCATACGAAGAAGGGCACTGGCGTGAATGGCACTGGCATAAACAGCAGCATGACAGAAATTAATTTCTACTTTACTCACTTCGAACTTTTTCAACATTTCAGTGCAAGCATACAGAAAGAAAGCACTCCGTTTATGGCAGATCACTAGGTTATCAGATACTAGGGTTCTATTATGCTAAATTAAAAACTGAGATAATAAAAGATACTAAACCCATTAAACTGTCTTTTTTTTCCATTAGAAACATGCAAATGAATTCTGAACTGTCTTCTATTACCATCTGGTGGTGAAAATAAGTTACTTAGAAGCTTTGTAGTCCTTCAAGTGCAATATTAGAAAGTGCCTGAGGTATGCAAGTTGTAGTAGGAGTGAAAAACTGAATCAAATCTGTACTGACTAAACACTACTGGATCATAATACATGGAATATCTTGCCCAAAGCTGTAGGGTACGGCTTTTTGATTTTAAGAACTACGAGTAAGTAAGCGTACTTGTCTCCACACTATATCTACTACTGCCATTTCATTTTATTCTCATTAAATCAGTATTGCTTCTTTATGCATTCCTCTTGACCACATACACAACACATATACCTAGGGGACAGTGCACATATAACTCCTTAGACTTTTGAGCCAAAACTAGCAAAAGAAGCATTACACACAAAATCAACAAATATACACTTTAACTTCATGTGCACAGTTGAAATGAGTTTCTTATAAAGAAGAATTTTACTTTAGCATTAATTTAGAAAATTACTAACAGAGGGGTCGATTTTACTCATTTTACATTATAAAGCCTGCATCTTCAATTATCTGACATGGACTCAACATCTATAAAACCAGTTTCCATCCAGTGTTTAAAAAGCCAGAAGTTTAGACTTTGTAGCTGGTGAAAAAGTGGTTACAGGACAGTTCACATGCTCAGTATACTTACAACTTGAGCTTACCTCAAGAGGCATTAGCCTAATTAGCGTTGCAAAGCACTGAGTAGCCATAAAACGTACACTGTCTGTCTGATCACTCATCCTACCCAGAACTGGAACCACTAGAAGAACAATGTATGGAACAATACCAACATCCAGCTGCTCCATTACACCTGGATCAGTTATTAAGGAAATAGTTTTTACCACTTCAGGATTGTCTGACATCAGTATACACCTGGCGGATTTCACACTCAATAGGTAAAAGCCATTAATACATCACATCCAGATGAACAGGACTGCTAACAAAGCCGGGGGCGTGGGAGGCAACATTCAGCTCAGTGAATTCCATGGTTTGAGAAACTGAATTACCTCCACCAAAACTTCATTTGATAGATAAAATAATAGCAATGGAAATGAAAGCTTCTTGCATTTCTTGTCTACAGGAAAAATTAACATTTTCTTTCATTCCTCCTCCCATTTTTTGCAGGCAACAGTTTTCCCAAAAATTATGCAACTGCAAGAGGCTTCTGCATTTTTGAATACTCAAGCAAGGATACACGCAAGTGCTTCAATTGCACCTTCTTGTTTGGTGTTGTCATCTATTGCTCCCAGCCACGGCAGAACTTTCTCTAGGAAGATATTCATTGTTGCCATGGTAGCTATTTTGCTCATAACACCTACACAACGAGCAGCCATGTGTCTCACTGCAGTGCTGGGATGTTGAAGGCACATATAAAGATGAGGCAAATGCTGTATTAACTGAATAGAAGAAGAGAGTGGGGGGAGAAAAAAGGTTAATATGAATTATAAACAAATTACTGAATTATTTTGAAGTAAACAGTCTTTTTTAAAGTCACCATTGCCTCACAAAGAAAGCTTGAAACAGCTCCTTCACAAGATCTAATTGTTTAGAATCAAAAAATTGTTTCAGAAGAAATAGACAATTGAATTTGAACAAGTATTACTCCCCAATACAGTTAAAATTCAGAAAGTAACAAAGTGTTTAAGGTTTTAGTCAAAATGCAAATCAAAAAAGCTCTTGATCATTAAGGAAGTGTTTCGCACTGGAAAAATACAGTACTAAGTACTGAGAGCTTTCTATTAAAAAAAAGAATTATTGCTTAAATAGAGATATGTAGATTAAAGAATTGCTTCCAGCTAGCAAATTTGTCCTAGACTCATCTCATTTATGTTTAGGCAGATATGAGTTATCCATGTTGGGAGTCTTATTAACTCTGTGTGACAAGACAGACAACCCAGAAGGAAATTCACATCTTCCCAAGCGAGTATATGTGTATGCACACGCCTTTTTTTTTTCCTCTTTCATCAGCACAAGTACATTTTTATGTCAGATATCTTAAACCATGTCCTAGTGTTGACTGGGACAGAGTTAGTTTTTAGCAGCTAGAATAGCTCTGTGTTTTGGATTTAGTATGGGACTCATGAGAAAAACATTGATGAGCACTAATATTTATAGTTCGTACTGAAACATCAAGGACTTTTCAGCTTGCTGTGTTCTTGCCAGTGTGCAGGAGCACTAGAGGCTGGGCGGGGAGCATGGCTGGGACAAAGCATCCACAACTCCCCTATGATTTGAACTTAGACTTAGGATTGAGGGCTAAACTGGCCACTGAAGCATTCCACATCATGAAGCGTCATGCCCAGTATATGGATGAGGGCTGACTAGGAAGAAGAGCTCCTGCTCTTCCAAGGGCTCTCTCTCTTAGACTCTCAAAGTGCTGTATCTCTCACTCATTCCTTTTTTTTGTTTTCAGGCCTCTTACTCATCTGGGATTGCGGTGTCAGGACTTATCTGTTTCAGGATTGTTTGCAGGGATGGGACAGGCATTGGTCACCAGGTCGTGAGCAATTATATCACTTGTGCATCACTTGTCTGTATATGGTATTATACATACATATATTCATATATTATTATTATTAATTTGTTCTTATCTCAACCCATGAATCTCCTTCCCTTTTCCCCTTTAATTCTCTCTTCTCCATTTCCCAGGGGTGGGGGAGGGTGAGCAAGGAGCTGTGCAGCATGTAGTTGCCAGCTGGGCTAAACCACAGCAAATGGATGGTCCCATTTTTCCTAGTGTAGAAGTCCCTAAATACTAGCTTTAATGAACCTATTCCACCCTCATTGAATTTCTATGTTTTTTTTTTTTAAATCTGCGTACAGTATTAGAACCCCCAAAACCAATCTACATGTTAACTACACACTATATGTGTGTATATATATAAAAAGACCTTTCCATGTCATATCCTAAATCCACTGAAAATCACTTCAGAATTTTATTAAAACAGATAAGAAACAATTCTGTATGTTCCATATGTATCATCTCCTCCATCTGCTCAGAATTCTGCAGCCATTCTTTATGGCCATCCTTTCCCATCGTAGCCTTTCCAGACAGAGTTCTGGCCTACTTACTCCTTGCATGGGAGCCTTTTCACATATTTCTGTCATTCTGTTGCCCTCCTCCCTGCCTCTTCCACAGCGACTATATTTATTCTGAACTACAGTACTACAGACAGGCTAGTACTGAAAAGCGTATGCAGATGGAGGCATAACAGTGGCTTTCTTGTTCTGTTTCTTTCTTAGTTTCTATCTTTTTATTTTAATCAGTATTTTACATTCAGCTGATACTTTCACAGAACTATCCTAACTTTAGGATCTCTCTCCTGAGTAGAAATAGTCAGTCTACAAATGCGTAAGATGTTAAGTCTTTTACATTAAGTGGTGGGTAAAAAGAAATAATTGAAAAAATTAATCAAATCCAGTCTACTGGATTTGGGGTAATTGAAGTTTCCCAATCCCCTGCACAGGGAGCCTGTCTGTTATCCAGGTTTAGGAAATCTGGAATTAGAATAAAGCAGAGTTGAGATACTGATTTAAATGTAACAATGGCATAAATATTATCGTAATTCAAACTTTGGACACAATCTTGTTTGGGCATCTGATCCAGAAAAGGATAGGCCAAGTCTAAACTGTAGGTAGGTGTTTGCTTTTGTGTTTTTTTCTAGAATCTGCTTAAACAAATACAGAATTTAACATCCTATAGGACACAGAAAAAATAGCTTTGAAGCATAACAGCTTAACTGCTGAAGATAGAAAGATATCTTCAGTTTATCAAGAGTAGGATACAGGACCTGGAGAACAGGCAAGCTAGCAAGTACAATAAAAATACCATTTGAGCAAAAATTAAAAAAAGGTCTAAAAAGAAGCCTTACAAAACAAAGATTTTAAACAGTGGCAATGAACAGAATTAATTGCTTCATACAAAAGCTGCTTTGGAATATGATTACCAGAGGATGTAGCTGAGTATCCATTGAAGCTGCGGTTGTTTCAAAAACCTGTAAAGAATTTACTAGCTCCTGGGCAGGAGCATCTCCTTTTTCCAGCAAGGACTTTCGGTCTGTTAAAAACAGAAAAGATGTTCAGTTTAGAGACTGACATACTGCACTTAGCCCACCAGCCCCCAACCAGCTTACATCAGAAACTTAATTACCAAAATTATTTATGTGAATGTTGTTCCTTAATGAACCAACCATAGCGTCCCAGAGATGTGGCAATCCTGTTGCCATTTCAGCACCAAAATGTTTAGCTATAGTAGATAAGGCAAATTCAGCTCCTCTTCTCTGTACAACATAAGGCTTCTGAGCCTAGAATTAAACGGTTTAACAAAGCAGTGAGGATAGATACATTTAAAAATAACAATTATTTTCAAGGAGCATATAGGCATTCCATTCTGGTTGTGTTTATAGCTACCTATGACATTTGCTGGTCGATTTTCTTCTTTGCAAGTTTTTTTTTATATAGGTAAAAAAAATCTTTTGTAGCAGATTTAAATCCTATAAATTTGGGGATCCAGCTTTTGCTGACGCAGGCCCATTTCAGCAAGAAGTCTTCCAACTGGTTCCAGTTCCGGAAGCTCAGACAGTGCCAATACAGAGGATACCAACAACAGTAACATGCTAGCAAAACTTCCCAAAAGCAATACTTGATTTGTTATTGACCCCTTTCTCTTGCTCCTGCTCTCTTCAGAAAGTGGAGCTGACAAAAATCACTAACAATTAAGAATAAAATCGACAACACTGTTTAGGAATCATAGTCCTGACTAGGATCTTATTAAAAAGACACTGAAGTTTTATATGAATAAAATAGTAACAAAAAATTTAGCAAATCAAGTGTGGAAGTCGTGTACACCCTAAAGCCAGGTGTATTTCAAATATTGTTTTTAATGCTTCAGAGCTTCCATTGCCCATCAAGATGACCAACATTAACATGGGTAATGGGACACAATCACAACACAGTTTGTGGAAATCCATTTGCATGGATTTATACTGAGATATTCATATCCTGTACTAAATGTAACATATTTCCAGAGTATTAATTTTCTTAATGACACACTGAAGGTTTAAATCATCATTGACTAACATATGCTGCTTGCATCTCAAAATTTTACGTTAAGTCAGTTCTCTCATGAAAACATCCGGGACTTCCCTCTTAAAACGCCATCAACTCCAGTGAATTGAAACTAATGGAAGGGAGGGGTGGATGTGCAAGTTGCAAACGCAGGTTTTTTAAATTTACCTCATCAAGTTCTGTAGGAATGCTTCCACTACTGCCAGTGGGGAGATCTGCAACTGGGGCTTTTGGAGCTTTTGGAGCAGGACCTCGCCGACTTGTGATGGCAAAAGCAGCTTTCTGATGTCTGTACAGTGTAATTATTCCCCTGTGCTTAGTAACTGTATGATGCATCCCATCTTTATCGGAGTTGGGCCCTAAAGGAAAAGAGAGAATAGCTGACAGCAATTTAAGATGCAGTTTAAAACGTAGGTGGAAGTGACAGCTACCTACAAGTCATCTGCAGATCTCAACGTGCTTTAAAAAACCAAAACGTTAAGTGCCATCGTCCTCAAGGATGGAAAAATTTAAGTACAGAGTAGAGTTACTCTGTTAAGAGCACACTACAGACTTGATAATAAAATCTAAGTGTGCAAACTGCCACATAAATTTTTATTCAGCAAGAAATATAGGTAACAAAACTTTAGTCAAATATAAAAAGTTTGCACAGTATGTAAACTAACACATTATGTTCTAAAGTTTAAACAAACTTGAACAGTTCAAGACTTGAATCATGATACAATAGCAGATGCCCTCAGTATCTTTGCATTTGTTGTTTCTAATTACACTAATCAGCTTAATTTTCAATCAGATATGAATGTTATTCTACTCTGAGACGAAGGAGGATGGTCAAATCTTAAAGCACGTTAGAATCTTTGACAGTATTATGGTCTTAATTTGTGTTGTTCATTCAATCCATCCATATTTAGCAAGGGACAGTCATTTAAAGAAAATCCATGACCGTAGTGCACCCAGGATTATTTGGTCATTTTGAACACTGTCTTCATCTTTTATTATCTTACTATTAGCCTATGGAACATAACACAAGTCAGACTTTTTTCTAACAGGCTACTCTAATTTCCATACTGAGTCAATTTCAATGCAAAGCTTCATAACACATGCAAATGAAATGCAATCATAAGTGGATAATAACAGTAAATAACTGAAAATTAAAACAACGGTCTTTTATACGTAAAGTTTCTGAAAACTATACACATCATTAGTTGTACACAGTGTGTAGTGTAAGATACTTGAATAATTACTAACAAATGAAGACTCAGTGACATGTTAAAAACACTGAAAACAAGACTCACTGAAACACTCATTTCAACAGTTCAGAGACACGCAGACATATTTTAAGAATCCCATCAGTCTTACATATCATACATACCTTTCGAGTTTTCATGGCTACTCTGAGGCTGTGCAGGACACGCTGCTAGAGGGGTAAGATGTGGATCCACACAGAGGGAGTTGCAGAGATTTTTTATAATCTTTGAGTTGGGACAAGGAGACCTTGTCGTACACTGCTGAAGTAGCTTTGCTATACATGAAGCCACATAGTTTTGTACAAGCGTATTCTCCTCTTTTTTGATAGCTTCCATTAAGGGCTTTATAACTGGATTTAGTTTTTCTGGAAGTTGCTGCAAGTTCACAACTGCACACGCAGCAAACGTATGGACTCGCAGATGCAACACTTGCCATTCTTGATTTGTTTCTGTAACGGTCATTTGAACTTGTTGTCGTTTACTGTCCAACTGTTGTAGAATTATAGGATTCAAAGTAAAGGATGATGTCACTTCATTGAAAACAGAAGTCACCTAATAAAATGGGAGAAAGAGTTACAGATCTGTTTCATTTACTGTTAAGTGGGATATCCTCTGAAAACTGCAGTTTTCATGGCAGAACATAAGTCACTTCATGGGGTATTATCATCTCCATTTTTCCACCAAATAGCAGGAAATGTTCCAAAATGTAGCTTCTCTATTCTTGAACAACAGCTCAAGCAGGAAGTCAGCCATATTATGAACATTTCAAGTCTATATTCCCAAAGCTAAAAGAGGAGTTTACGTACTCCTCCAAATTTAGATTGTCCTGTAACTGCCAGATATATCCAGATATTCTGGCAATACATGAGCACATGACAGATAAGCAAAGGAGAATATGCTATGAATACAAGAGGCCAGAAAGGATGTGCAAGGTCCTATGCATAAAGAAGTTGTTCCTAAGCTGATCTGCTTTTGAGGAAAGAGACTGGGATAAAAAAAAAATCTACGGAAAAAGTTAGCACAACCCAGTAGATGCAGGATTTGCCATATCCTCCCCCACTCACAACTGGTTGACTACTGCTGCTTAAGTCTTTCACAGGAAACAGATTAAAAGCAATGTGGAATCATGGAAATGCTGAACTTATTCTGCTGATGGGATAGTTATGCTCCTAAGTACAGGAAAGATGATGGCTACTGAGAGGGTTAGTCTGAGGTTTTTTTTCGGTTTTGGATTTTTGTCTTTTTCTTTTAAATGCTCAGGCCAAGTCTTTCTGTTCTTCTTATTCTCAGCATCCCAGTTGCATACACAAACACACCCAGGATCCTAATCCCTCTCCTCTCCCACCCCAAGCTGCACCACATCCATCACCATTCCTTCATCCCCCCAGATCTAACACACCCATTCGACTCCAGTCTCCCTTTATTTTGCAGTCTCTCAAATCCACAGGCTCTCCACTGACATCCTACCTCATCTGTCCATACTCATCTCTCTCTCTGCTTAAGAAGCCAGTTTGGGGTTGGAAGAAAAACCTTTCATTTGTTGCCCCAGTATTATCAGTTCTATTTTTACTTACAGAGCTTTTCACGTCAAGAACTACCCTTTCTTGGCACATCTAACACTGATGTTTTCAGATTAAAAGACAAAACAATTGAACAGCCAGAAAATCAATCCACACTTTAAAACACATGCTTGGGGAGTCCAGAGGGAAGAGGTCTAGAGTCTAGGTCACAGTTTAGTCTTTTAACAGGTTTTGAAAGAGTTCCAGCCTGCTTTGTTTTCTTCTGTGTAGATTTCAATAATGAATCTACACCTGGAATCAAGAACACTGTCAATTTTTTCTCCTGTTAAGTATCTACCTTGCATTCCACTCAATTTTTGGCATAGTCTGTAAACACTGCAGTAGAAGTAATGAGTATTACATATCTCATGCCAAAGGATGTGTAAAGTCACCAGTTATTTCTGAAAGTTACTGTCTGAGTAATAATTATGCTGAAGATGTATTTCAAGACAAGAATAGATTTGAAGGAAGGGAAGGCATGCCTGTACTTACCAGCTCATTAGCTTGATCTATTGTAAATACATTGCAGTTTACTCTGTTTCCAATGTCAATGTGAGCATCAGCTAACAATGAGATGAGTTGTTTACATTCATTCTGCATTCGAGTAAAAGGAACAGCAATTTCATCATAATAGAGATGTTCAGAAAGGACCCCAAGTAAACGAGGTTGCACACAAATAGCCACAGTTCTACACTCCTATAACAGGAAAAGACATAATTTGTACTTCTGAGTAATCACAATTTCTTTTGTTTGGCTTTGGGCACTAAACAGGGCAATCTAGCTACAAAAAATCCAGTTTCCAGAGGGGCTATTAACATTTGTAATGTTAAGATAATGAACAAAACTTTCTGTCTGCCACTAGAACAGAAGTGATAGTGAATACAGGGAAGACAGTCATGTTAAAAGGAAGCACAGACCTTAGATAACAGGCATCTTGAGAATAGATTTATTTGTATAAGAAATGTGAACATATTTACTGATTCATAGTTCCAACAGTTGGCATTTAGCTCCCGAGTAACATATTCCTCCATTGTCTAACAATCAAGATTTTACTATTTAGATGTATAAATACCATTTTAGCTTATCAACTGAAACTTTATTTCAAGCTAAGTAGCAGACGACAAGCTGTGGATTAAGATAGTAAGTAAAATTTATTTTTGCTGCAGAAACATCCTACCTTCTGCAAGGCTGCCCACTCACAGATTACTAATGCAACACTAATCCTCTGCAAGGCAGATTTAGAATTCAAGTGGAAGAGCAGTAGCTGAGCTAATGATTCCGCTGGCTTTATTTCTTGAGTAACAGTATTTACACCTGGGTCACAAATGCAGCAACAAAGTGCTCCCAGCAACCTGACAAGAGGAGAAAGAACAGTCACTTCAATGTTAAAATTACTCTGCAATTGACGAATCAAAACAAAGATGTCAAAAGAGTCTACATAATTAGATTTTGGAAAAACAAGTATATAATGAAAAGAGATAAATTGTTTTAAGTATTTTTTTTCAGATTTCCAGTAAACTGACTTTGCTGCCATCATCCGAGCTCGCATGACGACATAATCCCTGGTTGGTGGATCTTCTGCAATGCTGTCTGCCCCAGCAATATATTCCTGAATCACTTCCTTATTCTGGGTTTGACCTTGACGCAGTTTAGCAGATGCCTTTTCCTATGCAATAAAGTTGGAAGAGGTTGAAAGTAAATGTGTTTGTAATAGAAAAGATGAATTTACATTCCATAACATTTCGAATAACCATCATACTCTGCGCAAAAGTTAGACTAAGCCAGAATGTTTCTTGGATAACAAACTTGTTAAAGCATTTAATCATTGTAAATCACCTCTCCACTAGTAATATTCTATGGTCTTATCAAATGTATGATATAGTTCCTTCACTATAATACTAAAACTAATATTCAACATATAGCTGATAAACTGAGTCCACACAGAGGAAAAAGGAAACTTCTTTCAGGACCTTTTCAGAAAAATGACACAATGCTTTTCGACTTAACTCAGCCCTGCAAACAGATGGTTTTTTTGAGCCATGATGGTTATGGAACCATGTAAATAAAGAGAAGTATTCACAGGGAGCATGCTATGTTTAGAGTCATAGAAAGGCACCACCACTCCCCTCTAACTCTAAGATCTTTAGAACATGTCTTTATATACAGCTAATCAATTTCCTGCTTTTTTCAGAACCGTTAGTGAGGTCACATTTCACTTACTTTTGATCTGGTTTTCACTTCTAGCAACATGTTTAAGTCAATGGGCAAATGAGATGGCTGCATCATTAAGCAGAGCCAGGCTCCCATCCACGGACAAGCAGCTGCAACCACATACTGTACAGACGCCTTGTTTAACAGTTCCAGCCATACCTTGGGAAACAACCAGTGGAAATCATGACAAATTTATGCAGTCTACTTAAGATCATATACCTGCCGATAAACTTTAGGAACCATCCTATTCTCCTTCACTCTATAGTAAAGCACCCCCTAAGCTAACTAAAAAATAATTACCATGAACACACTATTCTTCACCTGCACGAAAGCGCAGAGGATATGAAAGAGCAGGGTGCACAAACACTACATATCTAGGTCTTAAGTCATGCAAATACCTTGGCTCATGCAAGTACCTTGTGAATAAGATCCAGAATTTCTTGGTTGCTTTCTAAAATACAAAATTGAAATATGTGCCTCAACATGTCTTGCAGAATTGGAGTCAGCCATGTTGAAGAGCTCTGAAACAAGGATATCATATGATCAAGCAGATTCCAATATGAATCGTAGTAAAACATTAATAACACTAATTCTTACCTGGTCTTGGGTAGACAGCAACGTGAATAACGTTTCCAGTGCTGCTTTTCGCACAGAAGATATAGTATGATGCAAGAATGGCCACACACGTGGGACCAAAACTGTGAGTGATTGCTGAATACTAGCACATGAAGGAGAGATGCAGAGGCAGCGACAGTGAAAAAAAAACCAAACAGAGAGAACCAAGTTAATTTTGTTTATCCTCAATTATGAAGTTTTATCCAAAAGAAAGCTTTTAAAAAAAGGAAAGTGTTATAGCATATAGAATCATAGAATGGTTAGAGTTGGAAGGGACCTCAAAGATCATCTAGTTCCAACCCCCCTGCCATGGGCAGGGGGTTGTATAAAATCATATGCTTGGTGATTTTAAGTGGAGGATCAAGTTAATACACCTTAAACATTTAAAATAGTTTGAGTCAATAGCTTTTTTTTCAGGAAAATACTGGGGTTTATTACTGGTATAAAGAACTAGTCAATTCAAGCATGTATTTTTTTACTGTGTTGTTTTACAGATTATACTTTGGGCTTTGTTCAACTATTTAAAAAAAGAGGAGTTTTGCTTTTGTTTTGAATTTATTATTAGGCATGTATGAGTTTAGAAATAATTAAAACCAAGCTTGGATCTTTTGTGCATGAACTTGCACATCAACTGATGCAAGTAGTACATGCTGAATTAAAGATAGCACTAGTGACAAAACTTCATTCTTAACTTTGAATTTGAGCAAAACCCAGCTTCAGCAGTGACAATCTTATAGGGTGAGAAAGATAAGATATGTAAAGCATCTATCTCAAGTGCAGATGCTGTGAGTTTATCGCATGTGTTATGAAAAATGTTAACATACTAACATGCAATTCCTTTAATTTTATGGAGTCCCAAACAGAAAGGAAGTAGGTATTGTCTTCGGCCAGTCATAGAATTAGTTGTTGTACTTGATGTGAATTTTCAAGTTTGTTACTTTCTTTAGAACTGTTGCAATAGTAAAGTTCTACAGGTATGTGCATGTGTGCTAACATACATCGTTTGCCCTCTTGTGTGAAGTTTGTCAATAAGGAGCAGACAAACAAGAAGTCTGTGGGCAGAACCACCGTATGAGTGGAGCTGATATCCTTTACTAAAATACCCAAGATGAATGGAGACAGGCAGGGGAGGAAGTTACATATAAACAATATCTAGTACCTTTTAATTATTTCGTTGTCTTTTACTAATGTAATGAAAATAGAATCACTGTCCTCATCTTCACTTTAAGGAAGAGCAAGAGTAAAATTAAAATACTGATTTAAGCAAGCATCTCCTTAGCACATGATTTAAAAGCAACTTTGACTATTCCAATTTGAAAATAACTGGACAGTGAAACCTGCAATACTGAAGCAATACTCAATAAAAAGTTACCTGCATTTGCGGACCTGAGGATAAGTCAGAAGGGAAGAAAGAAGGATCATGATACTGTTTGTGGAAGCTGTCAAGTCATCCAACTCCAGAAGTGCATCCCACAAGGTATTAAGAATAAAAGGCACCTACGCAAATAAGCAGAAGAGGTTATCACAAAAGGAAAACCCAAGTGCTGCCTCTAAGCATTATTTTCTTCACTCAGACCAAAAGGGAACTTTTTCAACCAGAATTGATGGAAAATAATTCAGTCACCTGTTGAGTCTGAAGCTGGACCAGGCTTTCCACTACTGGTACTAAAGATGCTGCAGCAACAGCTCGGACATCATCATCCAGATCTTGGAGACCTTCAATTATTGCAGGCAACACTTTAGGCAATAAAGTGTTGATCATGTCCTGCCAAAAAGATCAAAAGCATTTTTAAAATTAAAAAGCATGTAACGCCCCAAGAACTAAGGTATACTCTGAGTGCATGAATAAATCTGTTTGTATAACAAACCAGAAGCTACAAGTCCAAGACTATATCCTAAATACTGTAAGTTACCATTCATGGAGTAAACCTACATTACACATTTGAATGAATCGTAACTCAGCTCAGTTTTGGTGTAAACAAAGCTCGGTGTTTACCACCACCAGACTAAACCTCTCGTAGCACTCAGCTCTGTTAACCTCACATGTGAAAGTCACCAAAACCAGGCAAGCATAACCTCTATTTATACTGTTTTGTGGAAGTAACTTATCAAGATACAACAGTACAACTTTGCCATGTACTTGCAGATTTCTGCAGCCTGGATATAAAAATGCAGTCACACATCTTATAACCCACATGAGACCGCTTGCTTTATCATACCTATCTACTGTTCAGCCACATTCTCAATTTTGAGCAGAGCTTTTTGTTCCAAAGCTCTTTGCAATTTGTCACGAGCGTTATTACCTGACGTACTGCCAAAGCATACTTTATTCCTAGGAGACCACCATGTCTCACTTCCCACTGTTCCTGTGTAAGCAGCTTCAGGAGAACATCCACAGTTTTATGAACTCCGCTCTCATTCATATGTTTCAATACTACTCCCAAAGTCTGAGCACAAGTCTCACGTACTGGTGCTACCACCTAGGATAAAGTGAATGGTGAAACAGTTATTTCTGTATGAAATTTGACTTAAAAAGAAACTAACGCGAGGACAGTCAGGTGACCAAAACTGCTATACAAACAAGGTGAAATTTATGTATTGGCAACTTTATAATAAGCATCTGTGAGCAGATACAACAGGCACAGGCAGTAGCACCGTACAAAGCATAGCTGATCTGCTGTAGAATTATCTCCTACAGATGCCTGCTGATCCACCTTTTCACTCAGAGACAACTTACTTCATCTGAAACAAAGTCTCCAAATCTGTCTAATGCAAACACACAAAGAAGTCTAATAACCAAGTCTTCTAGCCACTCCTGATGCTGCTGAATCATCTGTAAAAAGAGAAAAATTGAACACCTTAACTGTATTTATTCATAAAGAATTTCTGATCTGTTTGCTTTAGCTAAAATTTCTAAGAGATACGACAACATATGTTTAAATTGACTGAATATAGTCACCTTGCACAGACAGTCAAGGCAAAATAGTCAGCACTGGTTCAGCTCACCTGGCTTATTACAAATATCATAATTTTTATTTTTTAAAAAAAACAACACATAGTACCTTTATTGAAAGGCTAGAGAGCACCTTGTAAGGTATACAGGTAATTTTACCCCTACGCAGTACACAACAGTAAGGTCATTCAGATAATCTATACTGACTAACATCAACATGTCCTAGGCAAGTCAATTATTATGTTTGGATAATATTTATAAATAAACATAAACTATGAAGCAGTACTGCACTGTGGGAGACTCAGTGAAAGGAACTTGTTTTTCAGCCATGTGTCTTCCAGATTTAACAAAGCAATATAGACCAATCTTGTCTTGAAGCTCTGGGCCCCTGTTAATTGGAGATCCAATAGCTCTGTAACTCTGTTTCAGATCAAACGCCCTTGCATAAAAAGCAACTGCTCAGACATCATCCTTATCTCCAGTGTTTGCCTACTAGGGCATAAAAAGCAACTGCTCAGACATCATCCTTCTTATCTCCAGTGTTTGCCTACTAGATCACCACTTCCCTTGAAAACTACAATTTTAAATTAACAAAACTTTCATCATATTATGGATTTCATATTCTCATACATGTCAAAGAATTACAGCACATACAGCACGCGGAGCAGCTTTGAAGCTAGCCTGGGGTACCTACACTCTTTCCATAAATAGTTAAGAAACTGTTTAAAGTATCTTACCATTGCAGCATGCGTTGTAAATTCCTGCAATCTCCATGGAACAAATACTACTCTGTATAGAAGCAAGGAGCGAGAGCAGCTTTTGCTTCCCCTATACACAATGTATGCTGAAGTAGCTTGATGAACATTTGATAAATGTCTCTTCCTCGTTCTTCAACACTCTCTAAATCACAAGCACTCTCAGCTGCTTTTACAGCAGGGAAGTCAGTACGAATCCGGATAAGATTCACTATTGGTAAACATGCTATCACTGCCAGGATATTTTTAAAAAGTGCTTTCCTTTTAAATAGACTATTTAAACACTTTTTCTTATCATAACAAAGCAAGCAGATTGATAGAATCAGGTGGTCTGAGACACTTCACTAGAGTTACACAATCAACTTATCAATTTTGTTTCAGTTTTTTGACCTGAAAATAGTATTCTCTAGTACAGAAGCTAGTGTTTAATAACTTTACACACAGTCTACATATTAACAGGTACTTACACAGTAGCACTGGTTTTGCAGAGGCCTTTTAAAAAAACGTAAACACCTCATCAGTGCATACAGTGATTTCATCTAGATTATTTTGAGCGGAAATTCTCATGATTTATATTCCCCTGGATTACCTATCTCCTGCAAAAGTTTAAGTCTTTTAAGGAGTCTGTTTTCTAAATTTCCTTTAAGAAACATGTTAAATCTACATGAGTGGAAACTTACCTCTTCTAAAGAGCTGTCTCCCATTTTACCACCACTTTTACCATGAGCTTTAAGTATCTCTCTCAGTCCAGTACCTGCACCATGTCGAACCTAAGTGAAATAAAAAGTCAATTTTTAAATAATTAGGAACAGAAGATAAAAACTACACTGGCTAACTGAAACAATACTCCTTTCTTCTTAATAGAAACGTTTCAAGTGCTGCAGAGTCAGTGGCACTTAGACTTGTGGGAAAGGTTAGTATTTTATTAGATCAAATAATATACTTAAATACTAATCTGTCAAAACCCAACCTTTTTTCCGAAGTATTTGCCAGCTTATGGCAGAAGCAAGTAAGAATTGCTTGTATTTTCTAACACAGAAGATGTTATCATATTTGCAGTAATGTAGCCAAAGACAGTTTTCATTTCATTTTACCTCACTATGTTTTAAGACACTAGTTTTCAGAGAAAGCAACTAGAAGTTATTAATGGTTTTTAGTAAGTTTATAAGCTAAAGAAAAGCAGTATTCTTGTATTTCTTTATATTTTTCTTTACATTATATATTATATTTCTCTACAACTCTTTATATTTCTTAAACAGAATTTGGATCCCCACTGAATATTTTGGGGTCTGCAAAACAAATTTATGAAAATTATTGTTCTGCATAGCTTACAAACCGTCTTCTTTGGCTAAATATTAAAAAATAAACGAATAAGTGATACAGGAAAGCAAATTATAGCTACCTGTATGTTCCCACCAAACATGAACAGTTGAACGCACTAGGAAGAGTTTTTGAAGTGACAGAAGACCAGACCAGCAGAAAGATGTGCTACAGATACACCTGTTTCTGGCATTTTTGATACATAACTGGAGCAGTAATTGGCTAATCAAGAAAAGCTCACGCAATAGATACACAGAAAGTTGCAAAAGCAAAGTTTTGAACCAGGTTTTCGTTGAGCAGCCTTTGCATATATTAGAGCAGAACTTAGACTTTTTTTTTTTAAGGGCACTCCATATACATGCTGGTTGTTTGCCAAAAATAATTATATTTAATTTTGTGATAGTTGTCCTGGTTTTGCTGGGATAGAATCAATTTTCTGTTCGGAAAAGCTACATTTCTAAAGTAAGCTGCATTTTTAAGAAGAATGCCGCACCTGCTTAGGTGAGAACAAAGTTGATAAGACACTTTGTTTTAGTTTGTAGCCAGCCGAGGTATTCAGTTATCCATAGTGATCAAGGACTTTTCACCTTGTTTTTGCTAATGACCCAGATGTCCAAGAGCCTGGGGAGAGCATGGCCAGGGCAACCAACACCTAAATTGGCAAATGGGTATTCCATACCATGTAACATCATGCTCACTATAAAATGGAAAGTTTGTTGGGGACCTTCTCTCTTTCTTAATGGTCACTGTCCCTGGAGGGTCTTGCCTGTCATTCTGCTCCTGAGGCCTGCTCTCTCTCTTCTTGGATTGTGGTTTCAGGATTTTCCTGCTTTGGGATCGCTATCTGGGAACAGTCTGGACATTGGTCAAGAGGTGGTGAGCAGTTGCATCATACATTGCTGATCTGTATATATTGTTATTATCATCATTATTTTTCATTTTATTTTATTTAAATTATTCAATAGTTCTTATCTCAACCCACGAGTCTTCCTTCCTTTTCCCAATTCCTCTCCTCGAGTGGGGAGGGGTCACTGGGTAACAGAACAGCTGGCTATTGTTTAGCCTTGCATACAGGCTAAGCATAGACAACAGTAACAACTAGAACTGAGTTATTGGTAGGTCCTCCTTTACTCAGAATATCTCAGATGAAATGCTAGCATTTACGTCCTCATACGTACAGTTTAGTTGCTGTTGGCAAAAGCTGTAAGCAAGCCAATAAAAACCAGCCAGAGAGCCTAGTCTTAAAATCCTAACTGTTCATAATACACAAATCGTTTATTTGGTCCAAGATTGCTTATCAGCTAGTTTTTACAAGCCAAAAGAGGAAGACTTGGCTAGCTAACTTCTCAGCTTCCGCAAACACAAAACAACAGCAAGGCAGACAAGTGTATAAAGGAAATACCAGCAGTAGGATTCATCTTGCCTGACTTCAGCGGCCTATAAGCTAGGCAATCAGTCTGAACTAGTCATCCAGGCTGCCTCTAGATATTGCAAGAAGATGCCAGAGGGCCATTTTATAAACATGTATTTTGAGGTAGTTTAACCTGTTTTTCATCCAGAACATACTGTAATAATGATTCTGTATTGATCTACTTCCTTAATTAAGATGTACGCACCCTATATCAAATGCACTAAGAAAGCTATGAGAACATCTGCATTCCAGAAGCCAAGCAGACTTCGGCTTCAACTGAAGTCTGCTTTCAAATAAGGTGAGGCTTACTAGCTCAGACACAGTGATATGCCACACAAATATAATTACCCTTCCTCTGGGACCAAAATAATTGCTTTGGCTGCATATGATCTATCTCTGTGTTTCCAAGTTTCAGAGCAAGTTGGCTCTGCCCATACTAACATCACTGAAACTGTGCTACACATATATACCTAAGTATGTTATAGTTGGTGTTAACATTTAATCTTTCAAAAGATCTTTTTTATTTTTTTAAAAAAAAGAAGTTAGTTGACAAGTTATTTCCACCTTCTGATCAAGGAAGAGAGATCATTATCAGCTACTTCAGATTTTTCCTTGGAACTGATATAAAAGTTTGTGGACAACAATATAAGGACTGAATAAAAGGGTGAGCACAACAGGTTTTGAATCTTGAAAATAAGTTGTCTAGGCAACCAAATATATAGTTTTTGTAGTTGGTTTTTACTATCATTCTAAAAAAGTTAAAAGTTCCTTTTTATAAACGAAGAGAACAACTGATGATTTGTAGCCTGCCCTCTTACCAAAGGAGTGATCCCCCCCTCCTTTTCTACTAGCAGAGCATTAGACAAACCTGCCACTGTTGCACTGCGCAGTGCTTACACAATATTCCTCAAACTTGATGAATCCAAGCCTGTTTTAATTGCTTAATCTTGACCATAGATTTTATTTTGCTTGAATTTCAATACTTCCAGAGTTCTCATTTATAATCACTGCTTTCCATATCTTTTTCATGCTCTCCTTGAATATACATTGCACATCTGTGCTCATTTTCCCTTTAAATGAGTTTTGAAAAACACTTAGATTTTCTAAAAGCAGATTTGTCTTGGCTATGTAATCTGTATTTACGATTTATGTTATTTCTGATATCTAGCAAAATGCTCTTTAGTCCTACACATACATATTTTGTGCTTCTGTTGAAACTTGTTTTTTAATCTATAGTTGCATCTTAGATACCACACATATGTCTTACCTCCCAAGAAGGGTTAAAGAGATCATTGCACACCTCTTCACAAAAGCTTTCCAGAGGCCATTCATTTGCCTAAATTCATAAAAAATAAATAATTACAAGATTAAAACAGAAAGGAATCAGGTGAACACTTCTTATATTTTATGTCACTTAGATATGTAAAGATAACAAAGACCTCCAAAAGCTTAAGTATTTTTCTTTGCTACTGGACAGAATTGGAAAAAACAAACAACCTTCTTCTGCGCTTCAGAAACGTTGCTGATTTGGCATCGGATCTTTTAAAAACCTTATGAAGTTTGTTAGTAGTGTAACCTCTTCTCTATGGTAATTAATTCTGATGTTCTGGAATTCAGTCTCCCTTTAGGAACCATGCTAAGGCAGAAAATTAAGCAAAGTTTCTTCTCCTCCCCAGTGATTCATTAAATTTATGAACTCTGTCTTTAAAGAACATAATAGGAAAGTCTCAGTTTGAAATTACACTACGTAGTCAAATTAGGTCAATCCAATAATAAATACCACCCCTTTTCAAAACACATTCTGCATTTTTGAAAACCAGAAGCATATCCACTATCCCAAAATTTCCTACAAGGAAACTGACACTGCTGTGAAAGGAAGTGATGATACGAACATTAGTAAGGTCATACCATCACAAACACAAAGCATTTGAAAGCCTGGCAACCAGCAGCTATTCAGCCTGCGTTTATCATTAATCTCTCAAATTCATTTTTCAAGCAATGTTTCACAAATAAGAATTTAATTATTAAGCTATGACTGCAAGGCTTATTTTTGTACAATACAGACTAATCAAGATATAATCTTCAAATAAACTTCTATGTACCATTTGTATTCTATAAGCATTTAGAATTTTTCAGCTTTTCAGTCTATTGAAACAAATGTAAGTTTTTCTAAGACTAAGGTAATTGTTTAAATCTTCAACTACTAAAGACAGAACTTAATTCTACATTAAGTCTAATTACAGTAAGGCAAAGGTTAAATAAAGCATACGTGAACATTTAGATCAAATTATTTATGGCTCGGTGTAATCCTATCATCTCAGCGTTTAGCACAGTTTCACAGTTTAATTCCGAGCTCTGACACCTGTAATCCACCTACTCGAGTTCGTTTGGGTCACAAACTGCTACCAATGGATTAAACATCTTCTTCCTCAATGCTACACACAGTTTGAAGCTCGTTTGCTTCAATACATAAAAGCAAGCTGGCAATGACATTCTTTAATCCATTTCTCTTAATGCTAAAATAACTAAAGAATTTGGGAACGTAAAGGAGTTTTGTTTTACGTTACTCTGCTAAAAACTGAATGTTTTTTTCTGCTAAGAGCAGAACAATACATCATACCTCTTCCGGAGCATTTTCTACCAGTGTTTTTGAGTCTGTGGCAGGCTGGTTGATGACAACATTTGCAACTTTCCTTCTCTTTTCTTCTGGTTCCCCATCAGTGCTATCATTGCTGAGAAGGAAAAAGTATAAGTTATGGGCTGAAAGTATGCTTTAGAGGAGGTAATTAGTTCTACAGCTGAAGTCTTCAGATACAACCAAGTGTAGCAAAAATACAAAACAAAGAACTTTAACATGGTGAAATATGCAAAATAGGTAACGATACGTAAAAAAATTTAGTGAGGAAACAGCAGAGTTTGCTATCTCAAATTGGCAATCCTTCTCAGCCTTTTCCAAGAAATATAGAAATTCTTAAATAAGATCAAGGAAAGATAACTGTTTACTTCTTGTTATAAACACAGTAGGTACAATAGTATGTCACTATAAACTACAGTGAGGAACACAGCATACAACAGAAAGTTATTTCTTAAATTTTCAGTTATTGTATATCTTCTTAAATGCCCCATTTTCACAGACCATTCTCAAGCCATGTTTAATAACAGGAACAAACCATAAATTTTAACTGTAGCATCACATTATTTCAAGATCACTCTGAAGCTAGGTCCTTAACAAAGCTCTACTAGGAATAAGAACAGCACGCGAGTGTTTTACCATCAGCACATAAAAGATTAAGATGCAAAGACTGCAGGAAGTTTTTCAACAGATAAATCAAATCACAACCCTATCTTAACTGAAATAAAAAAACAAACCAGCTCACTATTATACCTCTTCTCATTAGCTTCCACTGCATCTCTGGATCTTTGCTTTGCAAACAGCTTAGCCATTCTTTTGGCTTTATTCTTTTGTCTACTGCTCATACCAGCTCGAAATTCTGAGTCAATTAACTCAGCAGCCTGAAGAGTCTGAAAAAGAAGTCATTCATTGTCAATTCCTCTTACAATGAAAGTCCTGAAAAATCCTCAAACCCACATTGCTCTCAGCTTCCCCAACCCTCCATCATTTCAAACTCAGAGCAGCAGTTTGACGTCAAATAATACTAACATGCAACTATGAGGTGTAAAAATTGAGGAAGCCAAAGCATACCATATTAGATGATGATCATCATACTTAACATACAAGGTTTAAAGCCACAGAAGCACAAATAAAGCAAACCCACTGTATTATTCCTTGCAGTCAAACAGCCCGAGGTTTTACCTACAGGTTGTTTGTTTACTAGTGAAACTGAAGAAGGAGAATAGTCCAGATCTTCATCATTGAACAGATCTTCAGTATTCATCCCAATTGCAGCACCCATATCTAAGCCAAGTTTCTTTTGTAACAGTTTCCTCTGTCGTGCTATCCTCTCTTTAGGATCAATTTCACCTTAAAAAAAAAATTAAAAAGGAAAGATGTGTCAGATTTCCAACCAGTCATATTATTGAAGGTTTGCTCAATGAAATAACCTAAGCAAGCCAAAAGTTACAGAATTAAATCGTACTTGACTGATATATCAATACAATCTTTAAACCAAATCACACTAATTCCCAGGAAGACATTTTCTGCTGATAAAGCTATATTAGTACTTAAACTGTCATCAACTTTCAAGCAGAAAATAGCTCCCACAAAATACATTAAATTACATTTGGTCTACAGAAGTAAAACAAGTTTTCCCTGAATTTTTAGGAAAGTGCACTTTGAACGGGAGCTAACACACTAAAGAATAAATACAGCAACTGATTCAAGAACTACACTTTTTTTATTGAGCACATGCATCCTTGTGGGATCTGTTCATTTCGGCAGCCTAGGTTTTGGTGGTGGTTGTTTTTTGTTTTGTGTTTGGGAATTTTGTGGGTTTCTTGTGGGTTTGTTGGTTTTTGGTTTTGTTTTTAAACTTTACCTTCTGTTGGGAAGCACAAACCTTACAAATAATCACCACCAATAAAACCCCCTCAAACAATATTCAGTCCAATACCCTGTATTAAGTTGAATTTGAACCTGTTTTCTTCAGAAACATTCTTCACTGTAAAACATACTAGATCCAGGTGTCTCCTTTCCTTCTGCCCAAACTAACTCCTGTTGGAAATGAAGACTGAAACATAAGCATGATTTTCCCAGGGTGCTGGGGTCTGTTAACAATCTTATCTTCAAGTTTCATGTGTCAAGCTTGTTCATAGAAACTACCTCAAGAATATTGTGAAGTTTCAACACTAATTTCTGAATGCCTAGACTTCGTGAGCACCCACATTTACATAAAAAATAGAAGATTTTAGTGCCTGAGTAGAATAAACCCTCCAAGTAAATCAAAAGTTTGTATCTTGTAGGGCTGTCAGACTTCGCTTTTTACACATGCAGTACAGAAACCAGTCAGGAGATTGTTTTTTTTTGTCAAATATCTGCACACAAACTTGTAAGTAGGTGACCAGTATGCAAATTTTGAGGTATACACCAGGTTGAGTAGTACTTAGTTAATTATATCTCTACCAATAAGCTTTTGGTGTTTTTTTTTTTCTTTTTCTATACTGCATTTAATTGACAAGCAGAAAAATACAAACAAATTCCATTCTCCAGAAAATATTATTCCTTTCATATGTTCATCTTAGGAAAAAATGTCTAATTTCAAAGATTATTTCACTTGCTTTATGTCTATTCATGTTGGCTACTTGAAAAGGAAAGCTGCTATAAAATGCAAAAGAGAAAGCAGCCTTTGTACATTTTCCCCATCAGTTAAAAAACCCCAAACAACTAAAGCTATTTTTAGTTTCCAGTTACATTGGGGAATATTTTCTAACATTATTTCCTAGCATTCTGAGAAACCATGGATCACTAGTTTCATAACACTACCACAACAAACTTTCAAATCAGTAGGTTTTCTTGTTTGCCAGTAAAATATAAAGATATACCTGATTTATCATCTTGGACTTCAAATTCTGCACCAGCAGACCCAAGAAGAGATGCACCATGTTTTAACAATCGACATATATCAAATCTGTCAAAACGCAACCGATCTGTTGAAGGTGAGTCTTCCATAGGACTTTCTGAGCCTGGTTCTAGACAGGACATTGGAAATAACATTAAGGACAGTGTGATGAAATTTTTGTTGAAATTTCTGGCAGAAGATTAAGCAAGAAAAAGAGGGAGAAATCATTTCACTCCTCCAGAGGAATCATCAGACAATACAGTATTTTGATTCACAAAGCGTAAGGGCCCCATTTCACAAAGACAGACTGAAAAAGCTCATGTAATACACTTAATTGAGTAGAAAAAAAATTAATGTTTTTCTCTTGACAAATTTACCTTTTAAATCTTGGACACTGACACACCACTAGGTCTTCTCTGTACACATAGTGCCAGCTTGCAGTTTGAACTGCACATGGCTCACAAATGATACAAACGAGTATCATGCCAACACTGTATCATATGACCACCAGTCAAGCATCTCTGCTACGGAAGCTGATGAGTAGTCATAACAGGTATGGTAGAAAGTCAGCTACCCGGGGCTGCTGAAGACTAGTTATCTGCTCTTCCCAAACACAGCTGCAGATATAGTGCAGTTCAATATTGATACAGAAGAGATTTGTTCCTCAAGGTGTCTTACTTCCTGGTTATTTATGAATTCACTTCCAAAGTATTCCCTCTCCTCAACGCTCAACGATTAGTGCGTTTTGTGGCTCCTAGTCATGTGCAGCTTTAGTATTCAAAAAGATTGGTCAGTCCTGCATAACCCAGCAACTCATATCGCAAACTACAACCAGCAGTATAAATACAATTGTTGCCTCCAAGAAATACAGCATTTAGTGCGGGATGAAGCACACCAGACTCACACTTATTTATGAAAGCTTGTTCTGTTACAGTAGAATGAGTCTAACTGCATACAGAACACTGTACAAAATAAATACTAACGATATTTCTTCAGACCTGAAGAAAAAGTCAACATTTCATTACACAGATACAAAAAGAGAAGTGATTTATAGCAAGCCTAAGAACCCAAATGCAACCCATCAGACCACTGTAAAACATGTGTATTTGACTACCACATCAAACAACTGAAATGAAAGAAACAAATGTCTGCATAGCCAGTTTGCCTTGTTAAATGGTACCTTTTCTCAAACACACACAATTACCTTTTCAATTTCACATCTCATAGGCAGACACACAAGAACTGGACAATGCGTGTAACCCATCATTCAAAACAGCTGCTGTACTCAAAGACTGACAGGTTGCCCAATTTCCACGTACAAAAGGAGTGCTGTAAATAATTCTTGGAACTAGACTGGTGAAATTATCTTCTATCCTTGGTAAGATAGCAGAGTCA